CGTAGCCCCGTAGTAATTTGCACATATTTTGTTATAAATAAAGTTTATTATTTACCTATGCATTAAATATATCTACTGTATATTTTACCCTATGCTAATGCATTTTTTCAATAAAAAAAATTTGTTTACGTATATATTTCAACACTCTGAATATGAATGTATTTTTTTATAATTATTACAATTATTTAAATAATTTTTATTTAAACAAATTAAAAATATATATATTTTGGAAATTAATTTTTTGTTAAATACAGATAAAATTAAGAAAAAATAGTACTTTAAAATTATAATTTTTTAAAAAACTAAATTGCAAATTGATAAATGTAATCTAATTGTTTAAAAATAAAAAGGAGTGTTAACTTTAAAAATTTACTGTGGTCGTCCTAATCAACCGATCTCAATTTTTCAAAAACCATTTGAAAGGCTGAGCGATCTTTTCTAAGTGCAAAAATTTTCAAATAGCTAGATGCTTTATTTGAGGCTGTGCAACATTTTGAAAAATCGAATATTTATTTTCTAATTTTTTAAATTATTTTGAGAAAACTATAGAACCGATTTTAATGAAATTTGGTCTGCTGTTTTATTATATTCTAAAGTTTTTTTTACCAAAATTAGAATGCCCTCGGAGCAATTAAAATATTTTTAAAAAATTATCCAAAAAACTTGATTATTTTGCCTTTTTTCATCTATTATTGCCATTTTGTAACATCGGTAATAAATTTTTAACTTACAGTATATTGTGCAAAATTCAATTCTATAACTTTTTTTCTTCAATATTCTTCCAAAATGCTTAGGTTCCAAGATATAAGTAAAAAACCCAGATAAAATAGGTATTTTTTTAAAATTTTTAAACATTTTTGCAATTTTGAAAATGTTCCGGACCTCGCCCAGATCTAGGAATCTACACTTTTATTATGTGAGTTGTACTGAAGGTAATCCAGAAAAAATTTGCTTGCCNTCGGAGGAATTTCTGTCGGACAAATTTAAATCGGCATTTGCAACAAAATTTCCAGTTACTTAAGCTAAAAATAAAAGATGTGGTCTTGAGTTTTCAAGACCCCGGGAAATTGCCATGTTTTTGGACTTTTCCAAGTGGAAAGGCGGAGGAATCGAGAAAAGTCGCAGAGGAAAAGTGTGGTAGACTCGTCAAAACTAAGCGCCTCAGGAGTTATAAAGTATGTGGTAATCAACTTTCCAGAGGGGGCCTGTACTGTGGACTATAATGGGCACCTTTATATCGCCGAGTAAATTACCCTGTGGTTTAAATTACTTAAGAAACACGCTGCAGAAAAACTGAACGACTGCTGTTCTTACCGTCCTCAAAGGCAATCCTTCGCCCTTGGACACATACTTCTTGTCATATTCGTCGTGCCAGAGCACCCCGTAAATTAAGTCCTTCAAACTCCCTGAAGGATTTAACGGACTAATAATGGCCGCCCCGGCATCCCAGAATTCAATATCGAGCACGGGGTGGATGTAGGGGTGCTGCAACCCCCTGAACAGCACCAGCAGCGTGTCCCTTGTCGCTTGGGACGGGCCGATGGGGCAGGTGGAGGGTAGGGGTACTAATGTTAACAGTCTTTCAGCTCCTAGTATGTTGTCCTGGACTATGAACCTGGAACGAAAATGAGAAGTGTAAATAGGCACTTGAGGGTTAACTGGAGCTGAATTAAATATTTGTACAATGCTGCTGTTGTTAGCTCTAGTAACGGTGAAGTGAATTACAAGACTAACAGACGCGATACAAAGCGCCTTGGCGTTATCGTAATATCTCGAAATATCGGGATGACGCAATATTTTGCAGAAGCATTCACCCACGCGCGTTTATGGTGTTGCTGGAGTTAACCCTGATTAGGGGTAACCCTCTTTTGGATCGTTAACGCGCCAGGGTGAATACTTCTATGAGATATTGCATTATTGCGATATCCCAGTGTCGCAATAACTCAATATCTGGTAAAAGCCTTCTCGATTTTATTTATCACACGTTAAAATTAAGTTTCTGGAGGGTGCTCATACACGGTGTTTGTAAATAAGTGCGAAATATTTTAGGGGGTGGTTGCCGAAGTTATTTTGTGAAAAAAGTTCATATAAACGTAGGTCGAAATATGCTTCGTTTCCGAGACACGAGAGTGTTTAAATTTTAATTTTTTATTTATTTTTATTAATTATTTCAGAGTTTTAAAGATATTGACTTAAAATTTGAAAAACTCTTTGGAGGGATAGATGTTCCATTTTTGAGGTGATCCGAATATTTCTACTTGCACCAGTGGCGTACGTGCGAGAATTCCACAAATGTTTTTAATTAAAAAAAAGGTACGCCACTGACTTTTCCCCGTGTTGATATTGATATATTTTTAGAAATCCGTCATCAATTCTGAATCTTCAATTTTTTTCGTAGATACACCGTTTTTGAAGGAAAAAATAAAACTTATTTTATTACAAGTTGTGTATTTTTAATTTCTATTGGTACATTATCTAATAGGTTGCTGTCAATATTTCTAAATAAAATACAACCATCAAATTTCGAGTCAATATCTTTAAAACTGAAATAATTAATAAAAATAAATAAAAAATTAAAATTTAAACACTGTATCTCGGAAAAGAAGCATATTTCGACCTATGTTTATATGAACTTTTTTTCACAGAATAGCTTCGACAACCAACCCTTAAAATATTTCACACTTATTTACAAACATCCTGTATATGTATTTTATTGGAATAAACGTATGAAATTAAAATATTTTATAAAATATAATTAAAATATGTCTCAAATTTTAAACTAGTAGATTTCGAACACAAATTATCAAAAGTTAAATATATTTTATTTAAAATAACAAAAATATTAATTTTTCATAGGTAACCAACGAAAAGAAACAAAATTTAATCAAATTAAAAAACTAAGTGCGGAAAAAAGAATTATTCTTTAATTCAATTAAAGGATCCTTTTGTTTGGATAAAAAACTGGAATTTTTAGGAAATTCTCGAATAGAAAAATATCAAGCAATTTCTCTATTTCAAGTGTTTCTTTGCAATTTTAATTGGTCTTTATTTACGAGGTGCTGTTATTGGATGTTACGTTGCTAATTGCAAATTATACTACGATACTTCGATTTTAAAGCGTCTCTTTTAACAGCCTACATTTTATGTTTGTTAGTTGACCGCATTAAAGTTAGTTTAAACATAGTTCATACAGTCGAGAATTGCAAGAATCGAATAATATTCAGATTTTTTTAGAGTTAAACACTTCATTATTATAAATATAGTTAATGTTTTCTCCTAAATTTGTTTGAAATTTGAGCACTCGAGAAACCTAGAAATAAATATGAGCAATATGATTAAAACTCTAATAATATTTTATTGTAACGTGTGATGGTAATAGTTTAAATAACTAGGTGGATTTCATGGGGTCTAACGACACTTATAGTGTACGATAGATAATTCAATAAACATATAAATCTAAAAAAATTAGATAAATTTGGACTGAATACATCGAAGATGAATTTTTTGAGACAAAACGTCTGAATCTGGTTCGGGCTGAGGCAGTACAGTATTGAGGGTTATAAGGGTTTGCAAAAAATGTAATAAAATTTCCAGGGTCGTATTTAAAAAAATGAAGTTAATGATGATCCTGAAAAGACGAAACGTTACATATAAAGATTGATTATGCCATTCGATAGAGGCCAAAAAGTTGCCATGAAAAAGTGTTCGTCCTTTTTCAATATCGCTTCATAAAAGGTTAAAATCATGTTAGCCTTGATTTTTTAGAGGCATAATGTTGGTCCCCTGACTATGCAACTTTGCCCCAATTTAAACTACTTCGTATCTCTTACCGTTTCCGAGATCACTGCAGTGAGAAGCTAATTTTTTTAACAGCTTATACAATTTATTGGCTTTCAAACAAGAGTCTCAAACTCTCCACAATATTTGAGACTTTTTTTTAAACTCATGCTTATGGATTTTAAACTCNATACTTCGATTTTAAAGCGTCTCTTTTAACAGCCTACATTTTATGTTTGTTAGTTGACCGCATTAAAGTTAGTTTAAACATAGTTCATACAGTCGAGAATTGCAAGAATCGAATATTATTCAGATAGATTTTTTTTAAATATAGTCGTTATTGTCCAAATTATATTTCCATCAATTTATTTTGACTTAATTTATATTTCTATTATGAAGTAAAGCTAATATAAAAAAAAAACTGAACAAAAAATAATTTTTAGCACTTTTATTTTTATCTTGAATTCCTTACATATTTTTTTAGAGTTATACATTTTTCATTATTATAAACAGAGTTAAGGTTTTCTCTCAAATTTGTTTGAATTTTGAGCACTCGAGAAACCTAGAAATAAATATGAGCACTGGATTAAAACTCTAATAATGTTTTATTGTAACGTGTGATGGTAATAGTTTGAATAACTAGGTGGATTTCATGGGGTCTAATGACACTTATAGTGTACGATAAGTCAATAAACATGGAAATCATAAAATTGATAAAGGAACGAATACATTGAAGATGAATTTTTCGAGACAATACGTCTGAATCTGGTTCGGGCTGAGGCAGTACAGTATTGGGGCTCATGAAGGCTCGCAAGTAATATAATAAAATTTCCAGGATCGTATTTAAGAAAATGAAGGTCCTGGAGAGACGAAACGTTACATATAAAAATTGATTATGCCATTCGATAAAGCGCAAAAAGTTGCCATGAGAAGTGTTCTTCTTTTTTCAATATCACCTCAAACAAGGCAAAAATTAAACAAACACGGATTTCCAAAATTTCGTTTTTTTTCAAATAGGTATTTCGAAAATTAATCATGTTAGCCTTGATTTTTTAGAGGCATAATGTTGGTCCCCTGACTATGCAACTTTGCCCCCATTTAAGCTACTTCGTATCTCTTACCGTTTCCGAGATCCCTGCAGTGAGAAGCTAGTTTTTGTAACAGCTTATACAATTTATTGGCTTTCAAACAATCCCCACAATATTTGAGACTTTTTTAAACTCATGCTTATGGATTTTAAACTCTGCATTTCAGGTTTGAGCAGCTTCGCCCCAGCTTTCAGTACCGTCGGCCCTGCCGTCGGTACCGTGTCTGTCGGCTCCGTCGCGCCTGTCGTGGTGTCCCAAACTCACGAGTACCGCCATCTGAGCCAACAAGTACCGGTAGCAGTGCCCACACCAGTACCAGTAACTGTAACGAAAACCGTCCCTGTACCACAGCCCTACAAGGTAGATGTTCCCAAGCCTTACGCAGTACCAGTACAAGTGAAAGTACCAGTGGACGTACCCAAACCGTACGCCGTCAAAGTGCCATATAAGGTCTCAGTACCTGTTGCTGTCAGGTAAAGTGGATAAGTTGTGTAACAGATTTTAATTAATCCCTACTTATTTCTGTATTTATACAGTGTGTCCCACTAGTGCGGGAAAGTCCAAGATCTATGTTAAAATGAGGAATATACGGATTTTTCTTTTTACTGTGTTGCCACATTTCTCGGAATGTACAAATTAAAAATATATTCAACTATACAGGGTGTTCCACTTTTCCTGGACAGACACCAACTTTGGTTTTTTAAATGGAAACACACATTTTTTATATTTTTTTCGGATTCTACATCAAAAATAAAGGGTACTTTGTGTAGAATAGTTCTATTCAAATATTCACAGTTTTTGAGATATCTCGCTTGAAAGGTTTTTCTAGTCGATATTGGTTGCTTACATTTTCTGATACTGACAGGTTATACTAATAGCTACTAAGCCCATTTTTTTATCAGATGTTTAGTAAGGATGACTCTTCCGAATCATGCTCCAAAAACTGGCCTGCGTTATACAGGGTGACCAAAATATCATGTCAAAATTGCCAATTGAAAAATTGAAAAATCTCGATTTTTTTAAATGCAACGCCCTGTATATTTTCATACCATGAGATGCAGAATTAAATTCTCTACAACTTTGCTATACCTGCTCCTATACCAAAATTCATTAGTTTTCCATGAAATCTCATTTCTATGAAAAAATGCGAAGTTCACAAATAGCTTATATGTAAAATAACGTAGTAGGCTCCTGTCAAATGATAATTTGGAAAATTTTCGAGTCACATAAGGTTTAATAGAAAAGCGACAGTAACAATTGTGAAATGAATTACTCTAAAGAAGAATTAGTAAATAAATAATAGAATAATTAGTAAAACTCATGGTACCTAACTGTTTATTGGCAAGTCGTATTTACCAAGCTAATAATCCAGAGTTACAAAGATATCCTCGTACAAAGTGTTTTGTAAAACTGAAGGAGAGGTTTGAAAGAACAACAAATACAAATTATGAGAAGACAACAAGAACACACGCATGCAGTCTCCAAAACAGTAAATTAACATCGTGCATTTCTAACAAAAGTAATAAAAACCTAGTTAAATTAGTAATTAACAGGTAACCGCTCAAAATGTCTGCCATTTTTCTATAGACATTGAGCAATTCTACGACGAAAATTGCTTGATACATTTCGCAGCATTTCCGGAGTTAGGGTCAAAAAAGCATTTCTTATCTTTGCCCGTAAATCTTCTATATCTGTCGAAGGAGTTTCATACACCATGTCTTTTATATAGCCCCATAAAAAAAAAATCAAGACAAGACAGGTCTGGGGATCGGGGAGGCCATGGAATTGGCTACCTATCCACTTATTTGGATACAAATCATTTAAGTATTCTCTAACCTGAAACAGTTTTTCTATGAATTTACATAACTTACATAATTTTGAAAACTTACCTCCAGTGTGGAATGTGCAGGGGCACCATCGTGTTGGAACCACTGACTGTTTAAGTCATCCGGAGGAATAGGTCTCTGCAATTGGAGCAAGTCGTTTTGTAAAAATAGCAAATACCCCTTACCAGTTAAGTTTCTTTCAAGAAAATGTGGTCCAATGACATATTCTCCGCATATTCCCGCCCAAACGTTGAATTTAAAGCGGTGTTGATGATCGTGTTGTCTTATTAATCTGGTATTATGATCGACGTAATGGTGATAATTATGTCGACTCTCTCGACCAGTATTGGCAAAGGATGACTCGTCAGTAAATAACACCTTTGAAAAAAAATTTCATCTTGTTGTAGCTTTATAGTTGCCCACTCACAAAACTGTACTCGCTTCTGAAAATCTTGCTGTGTTAAGAATTGGTGATGCTCAGAATGATAGGGGTGGAAGTTGTTTTTCTTTAACGTTCTATTAACCACACTTTTGGAAATACTAATTTCATCACTAATTTCTCTGACACTTGTAGATGGATTTTGGACTG